ACTTGTTTCTGGGTCTAGCAAAGCATAAACATCAAGAAAAAAGACATTGATCATACTAGTGACAACATCTGGAGAGTTCTCTTGCTCTTGACGACTAGTAATCGCATAAAGACGGTTTGCTCCTCTGCCAGTACCTGAAGTAGATCATCTAGGTGCAGCCATGTCTAGTGGAGCAACTGATGAAGATTGGGCTCTATTGCCCTGATTCATACTAATTTGCCGGTTCTTGGGGTACTCTTTCATGAAGTGACCTTCTTGTCCACACTTGAAACAACCTGTGGAACCATCGCGACACTTACCTGGGTGGGTTTTACCACACTTAGCACATGCAGGAGCCCAGTTATCTCCTTGTGCTACACTACCTTGAGATTGGGCAGGTCTAGCTCTGAAGTTATGTGTATTCTGGCCATTATACTCACCTTTGTTTCTGGGTGCAGGTGCACTAGCAGATGATGGAGCAGGTCCCTTTTGCTTCTGCTGAAAGGACGAACGATTCACATTACCTTTCTCCTACCCGGACTCACTCCCTATCTTAGCTTTCTTATTTCTGAATTCCTTTATATCCCTCAGTTTCTCCTTCTCAACCTGCTGCACATAGACCATCAACCTTGATATATCCATGTCCCCTATTAGCATTGCTGCTCTACCTTCTTTACTCGACAGACGAGACAGCCTAACAACAAACATACTCATTCTACTCATCATGTCTGTAACCATCTCCGGAGCAAAACAGAATAGTTGGGTGAACTTCATCCCATACTCATGAACGCTCAAAGAATCCTGCTTAAGTGTGAGGAACTCTTGTACCTTAGCCTCTATTAGCTCTCGGGGGAAGAACCGCCCCAAGAAAGCTTCCTCAAAACATGCCCAACTCTCAGGTGGTGCTTCATTAGCTCTACCCTTCTTCCACTAGTCAAACCAAGTCATAGCAACATTCTTCAATTGATATGCAGCTAGTTCAACTTGCCCAATATCGGCAACGTGCATCACATCAAATACCTTTTTCAGTTCCTCAATAAAGTTTTTTGGATCCTCAGTAGTGCTTGAACAAGTGAAACTTGGAGGGTTCCTCCTCAAGAACTCACGAATCCTCGAAGTGTCATCCTCTTCCTGTTGAGCTCCTCTTTGTTGCCCAACCTAGTTAGTCACAACTTGGCTCAACATCCGGATAGCCTCACGGAACTCAGCATTAGTGAGTTCCCGTTGAGGTTGAACTTCAGGTGCATTTTTTACCCCATGCTCCTCAACATTACGTCTAGCAGGACGGCCTCTAAAAGCTCTTCATGAAGGCATGGTTAACTGAAAAACACGCGCAAGTACGAATTAGAAAGAGACTTTATAGAGATGAATTCTATCGCACGAAATGAGTGTGAAAGAAGTGAAATAATTTCCTAAATATTGCAGCCTCCTAATTATAGATCTGGAGCGCTTCACACCGATAACTAGGACTCTACAGACACGACTTTATAGATTTCCTAGGACTCTTGAACTCTGTGCTCTGATACCAAGTTTGTCACTCCCTGAGCCTACACCCTGGACGTGGCCGGCACTCGAGAACCATTGTTGGCCCCAAGCGAACCCTTGGCCTGGCTTACTTACTCAGCTGAACACTTTAAGCATTAAGAAAAGAACTCAAATGCAAGATAACTCAACTGTCTCAAACTAAACTCATAATGTTATAGAAATAAACATTTAACTTAGCCAAAGTGGCAACTCAAAATTGAGCATAAGTCATTAACAAGGTAGAGACAAATGACTAACTCATTATCTATCTATAAATCCTCTAATAACTGAGATGGATGTTGGTACAAGACCCTCGACATCCTAATGAACTAAATTAATAAAAGCAATAAAAGGGATCCTCCGGAAAGCAATGAGGCTTACCACCGGACTCTGAGTGCTCAACTAGATTAATGATGCGTTGGATGCTAATCATGTTACCCGCGTCTGCATCATAATAAGATGCAGGCCAACTGGCATCAGTACATTGAATGTACGAGTATGCGAGTTGGAATGTGAATCATAATATAGGCTTGAAAAGAATCTGAAAGGAACACTTACCTTGGCTTTACTCAACTCCTGAATAACTTAACTCAATATAAAGCAATAAAACACATGCAATATACATAATGATTTTAAAACAGTAGAAGCAACTTAGTTCATTAAAGAAATGCAATAACAAACTCAATTCTACTTGTATAATAAAGTAATATAGTTTTTGTGGGAGATTATCTAACCGACAACCACCACTATAAGCCTAAGTGGTGATACATCATCTTGCCCACACTACCAGAATTGTCCTATGCTTTGCCGTCATATAGAACGCCATAACTAAGTGGATCCACTAGTCTATGCTAAAAAGCACCTATTCATCTAAAAAGTATGATCCTTTACTACCCATGATGGCTACATGGTTTATGGAGACGTGAGTTATCTGAACTCAAACTCGTCCCAATATCGGTGCTCAATACTACTCCCAAAATACTCAGCTCATATATTTAAAAACATAACTTCGTTCTTTGGTTTGAGATAATTACTCAAAAACTTAGCTTAAAAGCTCTCTTGGAAATCTCATTTTCCTTTCTTGCTCAAATGTGAAAACATTTACTCTTTAACTGAAAACTAGCTCAAACGCTATTTTGGAAATCAAGGTTTCCTTTCTTCTTTAAATTTGAAAACATTTTACTCTTTGGGAATATATAGTCCCGATATACTCTTTTGAAGACATGAACTTCAAACTTTACTCTTTACTCAACTCAGAACTTAAGTCTTTAAACAAAGCTAAAACGTTTGTGAAAGACTTTTAAAATACTTTATGAACTTCTCTTAACTTGACTCTTGACTTTTGTTGACTTAGACTCCTAACTCTCCTAGAATTGAATTATGGATTCAAGGATTGTGATTTGTGATAGGAAAGATCTCATAATGTTTAGGAGTATTTTTAGATAGCTAAACATGAGAAAATATCAAGAAATCATTGTCTGGAAGCAGGTCCGCGACGCGGAGGTGTAGTTATATTTTTGGTCGTGAAAATAATTTTTGAGACAAAACGGTCTGTGACCATTCCGCGATGCGAAGAGACTTTCTGCGAAATTTTGGGACAGGTCCGCGACGCAGACAAGGGTCTCAGATTTGCCCAACTTTTTCCTTCTTCATTTTCTAACCACAATTCGCCTAAACTCGGTTCTTTTTCTCAAATTCCCTATAGATTCAGATACCCAATATGTATACACGAGAATCTAACTCAAACAACGCAAGAAAACAACATTTTAACCTCAAGGAACTCCTCAATCTCAACCTATCTAAAGAACGAAGGCCAATTTCAAGAACACCATTCAAGATTCATCAACTTTCAACTTTCTAGAACGAACTTCACTGAAATAAACATGATTGGCACATGAGTGAATGAACCCAACGCTATGAAAGACTCACATACCTCGTAGGGATCACCCCTTGACAAAATCCACGAGCTTAGCTTCAAGAACTTGACGATTTTTGCTCCTTCTCCTCTTTTCTCCAAGCCCTAGCGTGAATTTCCAATTGACTAAACTGATCAAATTCTGATTTGACCCTAATTAAACTCCAAAAATGGGAATAAAATAATAGGGTATGGAAAAGACCATAATACCCTTCCAAAATCCGGATTGGACTTTCCTTATTTGAACAGCCCAACTTCCAATGGGCAAAACTAACTCATACGAATTCAGAATTGTGCAAACTCAGCGGCGTTGGAAAGATTATTCCAATATATTTCCTACGATATCTGGAAACACACCTAACTCATCCTGAGCTAGGATTTATGGTCATTTGAAGTTGACCAAAAACTTAACATACTTAACAAATTTCCAGATTTTTATATTCTTTCCAAAAATGGTTATTTCCAATTATTTACTTCTTCCTAGTTATTTCAATTAGCACTTTTGTCCATAAACCCAATATTATGGTGCATATGTAAGACCTTCTTTTAGGTCTTATTTTGAAGAATCACAAAAGAGATTGATCAGCAGCCATATAGAGAGAAAAAATGGTGCAGATTTTCGCACAAACCCTAGCAGTCAATTTCAAATCGCGATTTTCGCTTCGTTTCTTGTCCGATTGAGCTGATTTTTGGACAGCTTGTTCCTTTTAACTTAATCTTTGATTAGAAACGGAGAGAGTGTGATTTGGAGTCCTGTAGGTCCAGATCTTTGCTCGTGAACAGTAGCTGTGTATTGGGTGATTTTACTCTTTTTATTTCACAAGTTTTTCGTGATATCTTGTAGTTGTGTTGCTCATTGTTTGGCACTTTGTTGGTGGCCATTTCGAAGAGCACTTTGTAACTGTTGTTGATTTTAGTGGTGTTTTGGCCTTGTGGTTTTTACTCTTCATACCGAAGAAGTTTTCCACGTTAAACTTGGTGTCTCGTGTGTCGATTTATTTTGCTTTGGTTGATTTGTTTGTTGCCCCAAACAATTTTGTTCTTGTATTACTTTGTCTTCTCTTGCTTCAAATAGAAGGGAAAGTTTTGACTTAGATTTTCTTCTTCTATTACCCTATCGTGCACATTTATTTGTGTTTTGCCTTTCCCAACAGAGTTTGCTTCTCCTATTACAATTTTTTATTGAATAAGGGAACTACTCATGACTTGCATTTCTATCTCCAAGATGTATACCTGTTAGTTTGCTTAGGTGATGAATTGAGTACTGTATTTTTTCGTCATGATTTTCGAATAAATATTGTTTTTTTATGATATATAGTCTCTCTGTTTAATTAGTTTGTATGGTTTCTTACTCATACCAACAAGAGAGTTGTGATGGAGTGTTAACCGGTAAGTCTTATTTTTTAATTAGAAGACTCAGATTTGAGCCTTATTGGATATAGAGTTATCTATCATAAATAACGAACACTTGATGGAAGGAAAAAAAAAACAAAAATTGCATTCATACTTGTAGGTTGTAGCAGAAAAGATTGACATTTACAATGAGAGTTACAAATAATAAGAAAATTTGATATGAATATAATTAAGAATCGTATTCAAGTGGTTCAAAGAGAACTTTGGATATGTGAAAGTTGAGTAGTTCCTCTGTTACATGTGCAATATAGTAAAAACTCTTAGCAACTGCCAAAAATGTATTCTTCATATCTTTATTTATTCCACACGACGAATTGTCTAACACTAATTTTACAACTTCTTTCATCTCTAATTCAACCTCATTGCTGCTTTCATTGTGATTTTCCTTGCAGTTGATACAGCCAGAAACCTATAGTATATATAGTCACAGCTAAATGTCATTCACGATACATAAAATATTCCGTCAGAGATACTTTCACTTTCTCATTTCAACAGCAAATTTAAGGCTTCAAAAATAAAAATGACGTAATAAAACGTGTAAATTTCTGATTACCTTTCGATTTTGAAGCTTGAAACAGACTTTATTGGTAACTTTAGATATATTCTTGTAGTCTGTACTGGAAATTATTTCATCATCTACCATATGTCCTCCACAAAGATTAATTGTGCGTACTAGCAGCTCTGCTTCTATTTGGCATGCTGTTTTCTCCTCTCCAACACACATCAACCACGTTCCCCACTTCATATAACAAAAATCAAAACAGTAAATATATAAATTAATTTTTGCTGGATAAGTGAAAAGCAATACAAAAGAATAAATAAATTATTAATTAGCTATAAACTTTTTTATATATATATAATTTGTGGATAAATAAAATTAGCAATAATATTTTTAGTGAAAAAAATTGCTTGTTATTATTTATTTTTCTTTTTTTAATAGTGATGTGATAAGCTATTCAATATATACGTACCGCAGAGTGTAGTTGGAGGTGGATATCTTTGCCTAAGGTCTCATAAGTTTCTTCAGAAAGTTGGTGCAAAAACTTAAGAAGATTATTCAGAAGCATCTGTCTTGTTTCATTACTGCAACAAAAGAAAAAAAAACATAAATTTCATTACATTATATTTACTAGAAACAAAGGTTTTTCTCACATTGAATTAGTGGAAAATTTATGGAACATAATTTTTCCACTGAACCAGCTCACTGAAAAAATACATGATGAAAAATGAACGGAAAAATTAAGAACATTACTAGCCACTAAACATAACTATATATGATTGTATACGTGTTATACAATTATATATTTAGTATATACTAATAAAAATAAATAAATATATACCAACTACAATTACAAACCTGTTTTTAGTAGAAGTGGTAGGTTTTTCTTGAGTGAAGTATGATGTAATCATCTTACACATAATAAGAGATTTAGCCCATGCAAGTCTTTCCCTTGACCTCTCTACTTCAAATATACTTGTTGCACCTAAGAAATAATCTTCCAATAACTCTTTTTTGCTTATTCCAAAGTGTTGAAAATTGCATTGTGTAAACCACCTAAAATAACAATAAAAAGTATATTTAATAAAGGTAACTTGAACTAATTTGTCCTTTTTCTTCAAAAAAATTAAACTCAAGAATTAAACATACTCTTGAATAATGGTCCATTCAAATTGATGTTGACTTTGGCATTTGTTGTAATCTAATTTTGCGGCCTCAAGATATACATTATTACTTATGTCTGGCATTCTACATCAAAACAATTCCAATGATTGAGACTAAGAAAAAAATTAAATTTATTTTTGAGGACGTTTACATTTTTAATTAGAATTATATTATCAACGCGCTAAAAATACCTATGTAACGTCTTGCCAATCCAAATGTCATTTGCTCCACCATATTGTTCGAGGTATGATCGAGCTTCCACCCTAGGTAGGCTAGCACACCATGGAACTTCCAATGCATATTGTATCTATAACCAAATTAAATATGATATAGAAAACGATGTTAACTTCCATACAATGATAGTATGTTAAAAAAAATTTATACATACTATCAAATCACTCGAAAAATAATTACTATGTACCTCTCCAGGGATATCTTTGGCTATTAGCCATTTGTCTAAAGATTGGTTATTTGACAAACAATGTTGCAAGAAATTATGGGTAAATTTGTTAGCATCTTCAAGAATCTTCTCTCCTGGGAATGAAACTTGAGAGCATCTATAGAGATTGTACATAGCTGTTGGGGACTTGTCTGTTTCACCCATTAGGCAAAAAAAATTATCACCATCTTTGAATTTGTAGAGCACATCTGTGACATATTAAACAATAAAATATAGATTAAATACAACTATGAAATAGTTAAAACTTTCTTAATAAGGACTATGGGTGGCAAATCACTCAAGTTGAATTTGCGCGGATCAAAATAGATTAAATTAATAAATAAGTTATCGTTCCAAAAGTTAATTGTGTTGAGAAGAGCTAAAAAATAATGGATCATAGTCTAATCCGTCCAACTCTTACTAGTTATAATTTGATTAAATACCAAATTACAAGATAAATAAAATAATATTTTTTCTTAGCTTATAGCTAAATTATTAACATATCAAACAAAAAACAAGTTTTCATTTAAATATCTTGACAAGACTTTTATGGATCACTTTGGAGTACATACTTAAGCTTAAATCAACCAAAATCTTAAATGACGTGAATTTGGGTGAGTCAAGATGAAGTATTTAATAAATAGACAGGTCATTAACCCCCTAAAAATTGGGTGAATTGAGCAAGTTGGGGTTAAATTCATCACTCGTTAATTAATTAAGGAGTTTATTTATTTATTATTGACTTGCCTGGTTTAACATCATATCCATATAACCTTAGAAGCCTAATAGCCATGCATGTATCATCAATGTCACAAAAGTTTGAATTCCTTCCACTAAAAATTCCAATATCTTGATTCCAGTATCTGTAATTTTAAAAAAATGAATCAATATACATATGCAATAATATACATTAAATTGTTACTTCAATTCAATTCAATACAATACCTTTGTACATGATCTAACATGTCCTTGAATTCTTCCTCAAAATAATAAGAAATTCCAAGGCGTTGTAATCGATCAATTGCCCATAATCGCGCTTGCATATCTACTGGGTAACTATGTGGAGCTATAGATATAGATACATGTTATTAGAATATACATGTTTATTGTCAGTGTATAGACGTTAAACAAAATAGTATACTTAGCTTCAATTAAATAATATGACATTCCATATTAATTTACCTCCTCCATTATATTTTTTAACAACCCTTTGAAGATATCTCAAACAATTTGGATCATTTGTTTCCATAAAAGCAAAGGCAGTTGAAGCAATAGATGTTAAGAATGAACCATCTTGCATTTGAAGCTTCAAAAGTCTTTTCCAATCTAAGTCACAAAATCCTTCTAGTGAAAACAATAATGTTGTTGGAATTGTATGCACAACATCCTTAGGGATTCTGTAAAGCAAAACAAAATGTATTATTATTAATAATTTCATTTCTTAACCATTGCTATTAAATGTTGTTAATTTAATTAATTACCTTTTTAATTTCATGTCTCTCCTTGCACATATATTCTTCAAGACAGGAGCATTATATGGAATATCAATGTCTAAATGTTGAGCTTTGTCCAAGAGAGCAGGAAACACAATTTCAAATCCACATGTCATGTTTTCAACATTCCCTCTCTCTAGTTTGCATATGTTTTCCTTTATAAACAATACACCTAATGTTTAACAAAAGAAAGTCCCACCATGAGATTACAAACGCAACAGATTCTCATTGAAATACTGAGAATAATCACTGAATATTTTTTCTTCTTATAGATTCAATCAAAATATTTGTGGAAAAGTCACTATATTCTCTTTGTTCCAATTTATATGAGTTACTTTTCTTTTTAGTCGGTAACAAAAAAAATCATGACACATTTCAAACATTTAGTTACAATTTAATTTTAAAATGTCTACCATATTCCTTAATGAAATGATTTTATAGCTATACAAATATCTATGATTTATTTTAGAACACAGGTTTCAAAAATCTTTCTTTCTTAAATTTCGTGTTAAATTCAAAATAATTCATATAAATTGAGACGCAAGAACTTCTTCCGTCCCATATTAGTTGATCATCTTACTAAAAATAGTCAGATGGAAGGGAGAATATGTATGTTTACCTTTGTTTCTCTTCTCAGGTGTTGTATTCCATGTTGTTAAAGCAACAACACATGCCAATGTGTTCAATAGGCGGTCGTAAATGCAAAAGACAAATTGCTCTCCCCATGAACCATCACTATGTTGATTTTCTATTATCCATTCAAGACAAGATGGAAATTGTGGTCTATCACTTCCATTTATATCTTTAATTAGGGCAACCCATGCTGTGTCATAGGGTGATACACTTGACCTTCCATCTTTCATGTCATTCAACATATCTTTGATCTTCTCTACCAACTTCCTTGTCTTCTTCGTTCGAGTTACCTATAGAGAAAAATTGTTATTATAGGTACGTAGAGGTAGATTTAAAAATTTAAATATGCGAGTTCTGAATTCTAAAATAGGGCAAGCATTAGATTCAAGATAGATAATTTATACATATCAAGTTAAAAAATTTAATACAAATATAGAGCTTGAACTAAAATTACTGAATTCTGATTTAAAAGGTAGATTCGTACCCTAATTGCACGTACACGGTTACTTATAAGATAATTTACAAATTAAATTTTTAAAAAATAAAATACACAACCATTAGCATAATTTTATTTTAATTGAATTCTAGTTATTTACTAAATTCAAATCAATAAACTGGTAAGCACAATAAAATGAAAGTTAATTGAAGCAAAAAAACAGAAAGAATTTTCTAGTAACCTGAATATTTTCCCCATCTAGCAGGTATTTTGTATCCTCAGTTTGCAATTCACCAGTGTAACCTGCGAAAATATATTTATATAGGTCGTAATGTATGATATATTCTCTGGCTGAAATATAATCCGCTATTAACATATTTAGATGGATTCACGATTTGAACCTTATGAGTTCAAGTATGAAATCTACTACAAAAATCTATCATTTCTACTTACATATTTAATTTTTTATTCATATACAAAATTGAATCAAATTAAAATTATTGAGTGTTCAAATGAACCCGTAACAGATCATTAATTACTACGTATATCAACGTCTGTCCATTAATTTGTCAAACGGAATTATGCTATACAAAGGAAGGCACCGTTCACCCGAACTTCCTTTGGCAGAAAATATTAGTACTATTTATATATGATTAAAATTATTTTTTATGTATATATAGTAGATGTCGAATTCCTTTTGATTAATTCGTGTATTTACTTCTTTAGATTTTGAACCCCCTTTTTAAAAATCATAGTTCCGTCACTACAGTCCTACCTAAGGAATTTCCAGCATTACGCACATGTTTACATAATATTTTCTTGTAATTATCAACTGAGCCTTCAGTTTGTAACTGACAATTTCCTGAAAAAATCAAAATGTAATAATTAATCATAATTGACCTTAAAAGAAAAGGAAAAAAAAATGATTAGATGGGAGTGCATACAATATTGATCTCTTTTTAAAATAAATTTACTCATTCTTAAAATATAAGATGTGTTTTTTACCAAATTGTCCTAAATTAAAATGATGTCTATTTAATATTTTTTCGTTTATGTAAAAAATATATATTTAAATAAGAACAAAATTTGAAAGAAAAAAACACCACCTTGATTATATAACAAATCATTTATTTTAAACTACATATAAAAATTAAAACACTATATGGATCTATACGATTAGTACAGTGAAGATACTTATAAATCACTAGGTAGCCACATAATACTCGTTTCAATTTGAGTTAGCTCAAGACTCACATTTCTCTCTTTCTTAATCAAGCACATTTCCAACAAATATCTCTTTAGAAAAAATGAGGGTTGACGCCAAACAAAAAAAATATTCTGCAATTTATGAGAAACAAGTCATTTTGAAATATACTAGGTATAGGAGTGTGTCAGTACGGATCCAATATAGGACTTTTA